TTTTTGGGACCTGCGATACTTTTTTTTCAGGATTCTTTGATAAATAAAAATGTAAAAAGAACAGTATTTATTCAAAATAGAAATGTTGTGTTAGAATATAGCCTACACTACTATTTAAAAGTTTGGGGTTAGTCTTTTTTTTTTTGAAGAAGAAATTAATACTTTTATTCAGCAAGTATGTGTTAAATGTATAAAGTGATAGTAAATACTTAATTTTTTATTCAAAGAATCAAAGAAAAAAAGTATCATAGGTTCCAAAAATATGAAGCAGCACAACAGTTTCAACACTGATAATAAATCAGCATATTAGTATGATTTCTGAAGGATCATGTGACACTGAAGACTGGAGTAATGATGAAAATTCAGCACTGCGTCACAGAAATAAATGATATTTTAAAGTATATTAAAATAGGAAACAAATATTAGAAATTGCAATAATATTTTATGATATTTTAAAGTATATTAAAATAGGAAACAAATATTAGAAATTGCAATAATATTTTACAATATTAGTTTTTTCTGTATTTTTGATCAAATAAATACAGCCTTGATGAGCATAAGAGACTCCATTAAAAATCTTCATTATCCCAAACTTTTGAACAGCAGTGTATATGTTTTAACCTATTGCTGACCAACACAATTTACACTACTGTTTAACACTTCAGGGTTGGTAAGATTTTTAATGTTTCTGCTCGCCAGGGCCACATCTTTTAAAATTAAAAATGAAGTAAAAACTGTAATATTGTAAAATAATTACAAAAAAATTTTAAATAAACATTTTGAAAACATTTTATTTAATATATATAAAAAAATAAAAAAAATTATCATTACACGCATAAAAACGCATCCTTTCTTTACTTATTTCTCTCCTTAGAGTCCAGACGGTGCACACCTTACATGGGAACCTCCATCCGTGACATCAGGAAAGATCACAGAGTATTCTGTCTATCTGGCTATCCAGAGCAGCCAGACCACTGAGGCGAAACCCTCGGCCCCGGCCCAGCTTGCCTTCATGCGTGTTTACTGTGGGCCAAATCCTTCCTGCCTGGTCCTGTCCTCTAGCCTGTCCAATGCCCACATAGACTACACCACCAAACCCGCCATCATCTTCCGCATCGCTGCACGCAACGAGAAAGGTTATGGCCCGGCTACACAAGTGCGATGGCTGCAAGGTAAAGGTTTGCTTTGGTGGACAAGAAAGGTTTTTGTTTCAGGTAGTGACAAGGTAGATTTTTAACAATTGATTTGTTTCTCCTCTTGCTTTGTAGAGTCTAACAAAGATGGGCTTTCTGCAAAGCCTGCCCCAAAAAGAGCAGTTACTTCACCAGATACGTGAGTGTCTCCAGTATTAGAAAAGTGCATTGGATCAAAAATACAGTAATAATGTTAAATATTACAATTTAAGCTGTTTTCCTTTTTAATGCTTAATGTAATGTATTTCTGTGATGGCAAGGCTGAATTTTCAGCAGCCGTTACTTCAGTCTTTAGTGTCACATGATCCTTAAAATCATTCTATTTTGCTGATTTATTGATCACGTCAGTGACACATTTTAAGGATCATGTGACACTGACGTACGTGTGTACAGACGCCTTTGCCTCTGTTTATTTTGAATACGCACCCTCTAGCGGCGAAAATTACATATTGTGCCTTTAAGCAGCACAACGGTTTTATAAATGTCGTCATATAAATATTTAATCAATTTAATGCATCCTTGTTAAATAAAGGTGTTAATTTCTTTAAAAAATATTACTGTCTTTTTAAACTGTTGTAGAAATATGGTTGATTATTAAAATGCTTGTATATTTTATTACAGGAAAGGGATTGGTCAAAAGAAAGCAAGAATGGACCAGTGAGCACCTCTCTCCGTTTGTCCTCCAAGACCAGAAAGACTTACACTACTCCTAACACTCCATCCGGATTCAACACGTCTTCAACTGTAACCATCCATCAAAACAGCACAAAATCTGCAAGGAAATAGTGTTTAAGAATACAGTTTCTAGGGAAAGCCTTTTTTCTTTTTAATAGTATGAGTGGAGAAAAGCACATTGCTTATTTTTGAGTATTTTTCAACATACTTGGAGTGGGAGAAAGAAAAAACTAATTAGCTTTTTCCATTGTAGAGTCTTCCTTTCTGCTCTCCCCCATTTCTTTCAAAACCTATATCTTGCTTCAGCAAATTCAAACACCAGTTTTAAGATATTTGTAATGTTTGTTCTGTCAGCTGGGCTCAAATTAAGTAGCTCTCTTTTCTGCGATGGACTTCAGTGTGAAGTTTTAGTTCACGTTAAATGTGTGGACACTGCGGTTGGATTTCTGATTGGAGATGACTGATGTTATTTTCATGTGAGAAATGGGGGGGGGGGAAACCAATCAAGCACTTGTCCTCAGACAAGAGGGGATATTTTTCACTTGAACGGCTCAGTGAAATAAGATCTGCATAAGGAATCGTTCTGGACTCCAGCCTCCTGGTGAAGTCTGCACTTCTGCATTGAGCAGAAATAGAGGCAGAACTGCAGATAAAGAAGTGGCCATGGAAGTACATTACTGGCAGGACAGAGACTTTGCTAGAATTAAGATTTGCCATACAAACAAAAAAAGAAAAATGAAAAAGAAAAAAAAAAGGGAAAAGCAAAACTTCCCAAAAAATTAGCAAGCTATGATGGAGAAGATCTTTTGTGTAGTTTATTTTTGTATTTTTAAAGCTTTTCTCCTGTGTGTATGTCTGTGTGCTTTTCTTTTTTTTTTTCTTTTTTTTTTTTAACTCGCTACTTTTATTTTTTTGTTTTAAAAATTCTTGGCTTTTTTTTTTTTTTTTTTTTTTTTTTTTTTTTTTTTTTTTTTTAACTCGCTACTTTTATTTTTTTGTTTTAAAAATTCTTGGCCATCCCCATTGGTTTAAGGATTTGTGGAAAGAAGGCCTTTTGGATGGGCCGTTTTCTTGTCAAGTACTTTTACATAAGAAAAGACATTGTGTTTGTGCTCAAGTTGAGTGGTGATGTGCTACAGCTGAAAAGATGTAAACAAATGTAAACATCTGAAGGGCTTTTACTTTGTTTACTGAAGATTTCTACGCTTGTTTCCACTCTGTGTTTGTGTATGCCAAACCTTGAGATGTAAAAATCGTAAAACTTTTTTTTTTTTTTTTTTAATTCCTCACCTTACCAAACCGCCGTTTATTAGTAAACACTCAGCTTTTTCCCTTCCTCTGGCTTGTCCTCTTAACTTTTTCACAACATAAATTTGTAGAATTTTCTCTGCCCTAGATTGTGAAGGAAGTTGTCCATGTGAAGATACATTTCTACTTTTTTTTTCACCTTTGATTATCTGAGGTATGCAAACTAAATGTTCAGTGTATACCTGTATGTCTCCAATGTGGGTGAGGATGGCTGTACTCACTCTTGGTGAAAGCCAAGTTCGGATTCGACTGTAATATAGTTAATTCATAACGCAAGAAGTGAAGATGATATCCTGGCCTTTTATATATTTACCTGTACAACGTTTTTACATGTTGGTCATCTCCTGATTGCCTTTTTTGTCTTGACTTATAAAAGAAACAGAAATATAAACTGTCTCCCTGATTAATTTTGACTAATTTCTTTAGTTTCATGCAGCACATCCTGAGATTTCGTTCCACCCCTAGTGTCTTTCAGAATTGCTGTGAATTTGAGTAGCTATATTTGATGGAACACTTTTCAGAAAGCTGAATAGATAAGCCGATTGACTCGTTTGAATTTAATATGGAGCTATTTCAGCTGAAATAAAAGAATGATATCCCAGCATAGTATTCAAATGAAGTAGTTCATGAGGTTTTATTTTCATGTCTTTTTACACATACATTAATCAAGATCATTTTTTAAATGAAAATATCCTTTAAACTAATTTTAGTTTTACACAGACTAAAATGGCTAATTTTAGTAAATGAAAATGGTGTTGTAGTCAACTAGAAATTTTATGACGAGAAACATAGTTTAAACATTTCACAAAAATGTGAAAAATTATTTGTGACTTGACATTCTTAACTTGGTGAAACTATCATATACTTCCTTTATATGAAAAAAACTGGGCATTGTGCTGTTGCCGTGTCATTTTTCCTTGTATTTTCATCAAAAGTGTGTCTTAAAATGGTGTAACTATTATCAGGATGTGCATTTGCACCAGTGTTGCCAAGTCCGCGGTTTTCCCGCGGAATTGGGCTACTTTAAAGTGCCCCTATAATGGATTTTTGAAAATTACCTTTCATGCAGTGTGTAACACAGCTCTGAAGTGAATGAAAACATCCAGCAAAGTTTTAAATCTGAAAGTGCACTGTGTATAAAGTTATTGTCTGTCAAAAGAAAGAGTCACTGAAACAAGTAGTTTTTCAAATGAATCCCAAGCCATTTCATGTTGATGTCAACATGAAACATTAGCATATTGCCCGCCCACTTGTTGGTCTTTTCGCGTTGGTCTGAATGAAAATGCAAATTCATTCTTTGCCACTAGGTGCGCTTTTGGAGCGGTAAAAATAGCTGTTTCCCTGGTAACCTTGTACACAAAGCAGCACTGCGCTCACAAACGCTGCTTTATCAGGCATTACAGGCCTGATGAAATGAAAATGAGACCAATCGACCAATCACGCAGATTAGCATCAGGCAAATGAGGGGTTTGGAAAAATGAATCGTTGAGCAAATCGTTTGGGGGTGGTTGAGCAAGTAAGGTAAAAAAATAAATGCATATAAGACAATGAAAGTGTTTTTTGACCTTGCATGCATGTCAGCCTGTTGTTGGGGACTCCCAAAACCAAAATATGAACCCTTCATTACCCATAATAGGGGCACTTTAATACTGTTCGCGGGTAGAAGCGACCCCAATAACATAATATTTAGCCCCCGGAATGCGAATTTTATCAGGGAAACTGTGAATTTTACGTATATTTTACCCCCCGGAACGCAATTGGGCTAGTTTTGGGCTAGTTTTGAGTAGCAATTGGGCGGGTTTTGTTGTGAAAACCTGGCAACCCTGATTTGCACCTAGTTTTACAATTTAAAAAAACTGTCAGCAAACATTTTTGTCTAATTCTGCTGACAATTCTATAGATTAAATGCCCATTCACACTGAAAACAATAACTATATTAACATCCACACCAATGGACAACATTCTGTTTATTATAATCACGCACTGCAGTTGTCGCCTGCCACTTTAAATAATCAAGCTCTTTAAAGTTGGGTGGATTCTGATTGACTCCATATTTTTATCATTCATCGGCTGAAAAAAAAAAACTGTTTTGAAACTGATTCCAAAGATATCGTTCTTCTGTGTAGTTATTCTTATAGCTGTTGTGGACTTCATTTTTCTCAGAACTAGAACATTGATTGTATCATAATTATCATCCTTGGTGTGAACGGGCCTTAACACTTAAGAGTAGCACAGGAGTTTGTCCTTGCTTCAACAATAGCATTTTTTATTTGGCTTCTTCTCCTGTTGTTTCTGTGTAATCTGGATGTCTTCTCCATTTTCCACATGGTGTCTTATGAGCTGTAGAAAGTGTGGCACAAACAACTATAACTTAATACTTCTGCTTTTTTGGTACAAGCCAAGTATGAAATGTTCAATTATCCCTGGCTAGTCTCTGATCAAAAACAAAATTAAGTATTTGTTAAAAATCCTGATTTACTCTTGTTTATAGACAGCTTGAACTCACATACTGCAGGGCTGCTCGTGCCACACTGTGAAAAGTCGTGTCTACGCCAATGTCTTCCTTGGCACTACATTCAAAATATTCAGCTCCGATTTCACTGCACCACTGCTGGGCTTTGCTTGGGGATACCTGTCAATCAAAGCCTGGTATCAGTTATTAAGCAAAGTCATTAGATCTTATAGCTCGTAATTCAATATTGATGACTAACCTCACGATAATCCAAGTCAATTTTATTGCCGAGCACTATGAAAGGGAATGCAGAGGGGTCCGAGGGACATGCCTGCACCAGGAACTCTTTCTTCCAGACGTCTAGTGCATCAAAGGAGACGGACGAGGTAACATCAAACACTAGAAGGCAGCAGTGAGCTCCACGATACAGTGTGGTACCCAGAGAGTGAAACCTCTCTGTTCCTGCAGTGTCCCAGATCTGGTGCAAGAACAGCTGAGTATTATTGCATGACAGTTTGTAGAGCCCTGTTTGGTGTAACCTGTGTTACTGTAATGAAAACTACCTGTGGATCCTGTGTATGACATGAAGTGAATGTTGGTTTTATTTTGGAAAAACTGTGGGTTTAACATAAATGAAAGTAAATGTATCTCACCTGAAGAATCACTGATCTTTTATCTATAGTGATTTCTTTAGTAAGGAAATCTACCCCGATTGTGGCGCGATACAAATTAGTAAAGCGATGGTGGACAAACCGGCTCATAAATGAAGACTTTCCCACTCTGTTCAAACAAAAAGAAAAAGGGAAAACTAAATGAGGTTTTCCATGTTTAGGGAGTAACACTGATTTTAGTTTCTTTCTGTACTTCCTTATTTTTGTTTAACAGCATATTTGTCTTTGTTTTTAGATCAAAATACACTGGTATTCAAAAGTTTGGAATCACTGGAATCACTTTGAAACATGTTTTTCAAAAAAAAATATTTTGTACATAATGAAACAACTAATTGATCAAAATACAATGAAAAACATTAATATTTATAATAAGTTTTAAATAACTTTTAATTTTTGAAATATATATTTTTAAATAGGCTATTTTTTATTTATGATGGGCAAGCTCCATTTTCAGTAGCCATTACTGTCCTTTAAAATCCTTTTAAAATAATTGAAATGTATTTACAGGTTTTTTAATCAATATAATGGAACATTCTTTCAGAAACATCAAAATTATAGTCATAGTGATACCAAATGGTAGCATTCATGTCTTTGTTGTTCATTCAGAGGTATTCTGGACTGTACTGGAAAAGTTGTTCGTATTGCCTTTTATGTTAATTGCATGTGGGTCTACACATACATGCTTCACTAGCAGATTTACCATCAAAACTTTCTAAGACAGACACTCACCCAGAGTTTCCGATAAGAATGACTTTCAAGTGTGGTGTGCTCCACTCTGTCATGATAAAAATAACCAAAGCTGTTTTCAGTGAAAGGAGGTCATGAAGGAACTCATCTCAGACAACACTTCTTCATTCTGCATTTCAGACTGTAATGTCCTGTTCGTATCACGGATCCATAAGAAAACCATCAAAACATTTCAACAGCTGCACAGTAAAATAGGTAATGGTTAACCACCTTAGCAGTGTAAGGTAAACAAACGGCTTGCTAAACTAAACAGGTGGTGTAGGCTATCAGAAATGTTAGACTTGGCCTGTTGGGCTGTTTTAAATTCTATGATCTCTCTGGTATTTGAAAATAGGCTACTAGTCGTCATATAGCATTGCTCTTCATTTTTTTAAAGTAGGCCAAAACTGACCACCATGAACTAACAATGAACGTTTTTCAGCATTTATTTATGTAGGTTAATATATATTATCGTTTATATTCGGTATAGTCGAATATGGCTTGAAATAAAAATGCAGTAAAATGCATTAGTAAATGCGGAAATTAACACTAATTAAGATTATTACGCTCGTTCTGAATTAGGCTACTAAATTCCGATTGGTCAATAACGCCATTCAGTTGTTAGATAAACTAATCTCTGTTGTCCATGTTCAGCGTATGAATGAATGAATAAATCGATGAAATGACGCTGTTTTTTAAAGTAAATTGTTGATTTTTAAATTAAACTTTCAAAATTACAATATTCAGCAAGTTCTTGAAATATTTTACAATTTTACCATTGTGCAAGCTCAAATAGAAAAAAAAACAGCTATAAAAATTAATTGAAACAACAAAGTGTGAATTTAAAATTAAAGGGCATTAGCCAAAACTCATTTAACAGAGGTACAGTTCGTGCTTTTGATTTTTTTAAAACTTTACAGGTTTAGAATGAACTTTAAAGGCTGTTTGAAAATGAGCAAAATTAGGTTTTAAATTAGACTACTCCATTTGGTCTGATGAATATAACATTTTAAATGGCACTGTTTTTAATGTCTCTTGTATCACATTGCTGACTCGCAGTCTCTTGTTTGTTTCATATCGATTTTAGTGAAAATGACCTCGGATGACTTAAACATAGGCTACTGTAAATTATTGCAGTGTTCGTCTTTTTTTAGTAAGTACTTTATTTTTATGTTATTTTTTAATTTTTTAGGTCCTATTTTAATTTTACATTTTTATGATTCAGTTATTAGCTTCAATAAACTCACAAACCCCCTGCAGTTCCTTCAGGAACCCCAGTTTGGGAAACCTTGACTTAATGTAATTTTTAATGCACTTCATGTTGTTAATAACAAAGAGTAAGAATATATTTTCTCACTCTTTGTTTTTTATATCAATATGGTACAAGATTATCCTATTTAAATAAATGTGATAAATGAGTTAGGTCAAAAGTAATCTAAAAGTAGTATGATTAGCCTATTACCTAAAATGTGTAATGCACTGGATTAGGCCTATACATCAGGCTACTAACTACAATTTTTGTCATATAATTTGGAATCAGTAATGGACTACAATTTGAAAGTAATCTACCCAGCTCTGATCATACATTTAATAGCCTAATAATTCAGCATCATATTATATCAAAGTACAGTGGTGTAGACATGAGATACCATACCATGGTACCAGTACAGTACTGTTTTGTAAGGATAGCTTTTAAAGGGGTCATATGATGTTGCTAAAAAGAACATTATTTGGTGTATTTGGTGTAATGAAATGTGTTTATGTGATTTAAGGTTCAAAAAACACATTATTTTCCACATACTGTACATTATTGTCTCTCCTCTATGCCCCGCCTTTCTGAAACGCGTCGATTTTTACAAAGCTCATTGGTCTGAAAAGCGAGGTGTGCTCTGATTGGCCAGCTATCCAGTGCGTTGTGATTGGCCGAATACCTCAAGCGTGTGACGGAAATGTTACGCCCCTTACCATACTGTGATGCCTTGTCCCAGCCGGAGCGACGAGACAAAAACATTAAAACCCATTATAAACCCATTATAAAATATAAATTATTGCATCCAGTGGGGACATAATTACGGATAATAATGACTTATACTGTATTTTTACGCGTTGCGTTGCATCGCGCCGCGTAAACATAAAACTCTTGTCTGCATTTGTGATCGGAGAAATTACAAACTACAAACGGTACTCTACACTGCTCAAAACTCGCGTTTGAATCGTCAGTGGCAAATTCTTTAAATATGAAAATGTACTTACAGTCTGGCATTGTAGTCTACTCTTCCAGGATCAGGAAACAGTCCTCCATAACATGTGCTGCACACATCTGGATATTTGGGTTGAAGTGTTCTGGAACAGTGTTGTAAATGCAACTTAACCACTGATTTCTAGTCGTGTCCTCTTTTGGAAGGCCAAACAAAGTATTTTCGCTTTCGCAACAAAACACACAGTGTCTTCACAACATGGCAGCGGCAGCAACAACAACAATTCTACAGCGAGAATAAAAGTTACACCTTCTTTCTTTGCGTTCTTTGCAGTTATGCAAATCTTCCCACATCGTGATGTAGATATGTGAGGGCGTGTTAGAACGAGCCGTTTTTGGTAGGCGTGGTCGACTCTTAACTTTTATAAAGAATATCTCTTTGGATTTGAGACTTTAGTCTTTGCAACTTTACAGATCTTCTTTATGCACCAAGAGCTTGTAACACTCCAAAGAGAAAGGAAAAATTGAAATCGCATCATATGACCCCTTTAATCATTCATTTGGCTTTCAAAGTACAAAATATAGAGGCAAACACTTGGGCACCTCATATGGGAGGTGTCTTGTTCTGTGTCAGTTAAGGGTGTGGAGGCCAAAACTGTTAAGTTGTAACAGTGAATACTGAGGCCAGTTCTCCTCAGCTGAAACGTGGTTTTGACTAACTTACCTCACAAAAACACAAAACACATACAAACTTAGCTGGTACCTTTGAGTCACACTATTACTTATGGGATGTGGCTTTGCCGTCAGGTACACATCCTCTTCTTTGAAAGTTTAGAATTTCACCTCTGTCTTACATGACATTCATCACTCTCACTATGAATTATATTCAAGTGATACACACACACACACACACACATATATATACAGTATATATCTATCTATCATAACATTAAGATACTTTCACATTTTGTTGTACAACATAAATTACACACAGTCACTCAAATGTGAAGACAGTTGTCAAATGTCAAATTGATGAGATCAAAATGAGACAATTGTGGTTTAAAAAAGTCTAAGGTCACCAAGTTTTGTTTGTTTGTTTTTTAAGAAATTCATACTTTAATTTAGCAAGGATGCATTAAATTAACAAAAGTGCTAGTAAAGACATTTATAAGGTTACAAAAGATTTCTATTTTAAATAAAATGCTGTTCTATTGAACGTTCTATTTATCAAAGAATCCTGAAAAAACTATCACAGTTTCCACAGAAACTGTTTCTGTACAACATTGATAATAGCCAGAAATGTTTCTTGAGCACTAAATCAGCATATTAGAATGATTTCTGAAGGATTATGTGATACTAAAGACTAGAGTAATGATGCTGAAAATTCAGCTTTGCCATCACAGGAATAATAAATTACATTTTTAAATATATTAAAACAGAACACAAATATTTCAAATTGTAATAATATTTAACAATATACTGTTTTACAGTATTTTGATCAAATAAATGAAGCATTGGTATAAGCATAAGTGACTTTCAAAAACATAAAAAATCCTACCGACCTCAAACTTTTAAACATTGTTAGCAATTTACTGCAACTACCACACGGATGTGAGTTTACGTATACTTGAAGAATCGGACAGCACTAATTTCTTTCTTGTTGTTCATGAAAACCACTTTTCTAAAAACAAATGAGAAATTCCCCATGGGGATGGTAAATAGCTTTCTGCGTTAGCCTACAAATTGACGTCATGAATTAACAGCTTTATTCGTTATGTTGTGGATGAAGTATAGGTAGTGGTGTGAGGAGGGACAGACTGGAAATTTTGTCCTCTTACAGTCTGCAACCCATAGACAAGAAGTATTCTGTGTTCTCTCACTCGGACTTATCTTTGGGATAAGACTTTTGGCTAGAAATGATTTTAGAGTCTTGAGGATGAGATATGTCATTACTTGGGAATAAAGCTACTTGTTGGCAATAACACTTACATATGCGACCTGAAACAAATTAATTCTAACTTTGGATATAAATAAAATAAGAAGTTGAGGCAGAGGGAGAGAGAGGCGGTCTTATGAGCTGTACCTCATGACATGGAGTTGCTCAGCTGGCTGTGTGAGGCAGAGATAAGGGCCTGCTTTCATGGAGGTTTCTTTCCTTGGAACTGGATGGCTGCCCCAAAAACCTACAGCTACCCCCAACTTCTTGGCCTTTCTGCCCCGGCCTCCACACCACCCTGACCAGTAACAGTTCCCACAGAGTCTTGTGTCACTCACCAACTGAAACATCTTTATGGATCCACATGGGCATTGTGTATTTTGCACCTGGATCTGAGGACTTCCTGGTTTCAGGAATGGATATCATTGTACTAACAGAAGTGCACTGTCACTGTTGTCAGTCACATTGCCCCTAAACAAAACCTTGGATTGCAAACACATGGCACAAGAGTGTGTTGCATGCACATAATTGTACCAAGTTATTTTATTTGAGAGACCAATTTAATGCAATATTTTTAGACCTATATTATGGGATCAGTTTTTTAGTTAGCAAGGTCACATTAAATGTATCAAAAGTGACACTAACGACATTCATAATGTTATAAAAGTTTTTATTTAAAATTAATGTTGTTCTTTTCGATTTTCCAAGAATCCTGAAAAACAGTTTCCACAAAAATATTAAGCAGCAGAAATGTTTTCAACATCGATGATAAGAAATGTTTCTTGAGCACCACATTAGTATATCAGAATGATTTTTGAAGGATCATGTGACACTGACGACTGGAGTAATGACACTGAAAAGTCAGCTTTAAATATATTCAAATAGAAAACAGTTATTTTTAATAATAAGAGACTTCTTTCAAAAAATGTACCCCAAACTTTTAGTAGTGTGTAGATATGCATACAGTCAGAAATGGTTTTGAGTCTTTCATATTCAAAATGGGGTTAAAATCATTACCCCAAACCTT